CAGGTCTGGTATAGCTGATGGAAGCAGACTAGCCGGCAGTTTGACTGGCCGTTGGATTATCGTTATCTCTTCTGTTTGAATTCCAATTGTCCGACAGGCGGAATTTGAGCTAAAACTGGATTGACAAGACACGCTCCTGGTTTGTGGTGGGAGAACTACGCTACCCCGAGGAGAAGGTGGTTCAGAGCAGGGAGGGTGTATTGCGATCATTGGTATATCAAGACCCGACGCGCCCATGTCACCAAGAGACACACCAATCCGCTGTTTATCAGGTTCCCCAACTGGAAGTTCAATCGTTTGCATGGAAGAGGAAACCATCAAAACTGGTTTAGGGGCTTGGACATCGTCCAGGCTGGGTGTCCACGGAGGTGTTGGGAGGCCTGCCACGGTTTGACAGGAAGCGGAGACCATGTCGATGCTGAGAGTTGATGTACTGATATCTCTCACTTGGCACGAACACCGGCTTTCTTCACTCTCACTTTTGTCCAGAGCTCGAGCTGAGGCGCTAATCTCAGGTAGGCAGTCCGATGTGGGTGACGGAGGAAGGGAATATTGCACCCCGGTATCTCGATACACAAATGTGTTTGAAGAGAATCTCAGAGGACTGCCAGGCTCTGACGTCTGTTCATTCTTGGCACCATAACCCTCCATACTACCAAGCGACAGCCCCAGGATTTTCCTCGCCTTGGCCCCCATGCTCATGGTGCTAGACAGCTGGGAATGTACCGAGACAGGCCGCTCCTCTGGTAGAGCTTCAGGAGATACGGGTCTGAAGCCGTGGTCGAAAGACTGAAACTCATCATCTTCATCAAAATCAAGCTCTTGTGCTAAGTTCAATCCTTCACCCTTGACCACAGGAAGGTTGGTAACGCTTGCCATCGAGTAGCGTACATTGTGGTAGTCAAATTCGTCGCAGTTGGCAGTACTGACACTCGTAATGCTGGTCCGGCGGCGTCCTTCGCTGCTTGAGACGATGCTCGTGGAATCACTGTCCTTACTTGTAAGCCTCTCGTTGGTGACTGCCACGCGTTCGCTCTCCCGCGTGGAATGAAAAGAGCGTGCTTCCTGTGCTGCAGCCACCTCATTCAAGATGACTTTCAGCCGACCTTCAACCACATGAATCTTCCGTTCCAGATTCCTGCGTTCCCGGTCCCAATTGTCCTTCTCTCGATCCCACAGCTGCACTGTCCTTTCTGTCTCTGCTTCGAGACTGCGAGCCTTCTTTTGTGCTTGCTCCTGTTTCTTGCGAAAATCTGCAATGTTTGCTAATGCTTGGTCCCGCTCCTTGGCGAGTTCACTGATAGCGGAGGACGAGCCACCTTCCAGAAGCTGCAGCTGCTGCTTGAGCGAGCGAGACTCTTTCATGCTCTTCGATAGTCGTTCAGTGAGGCTGCCATTCTCCGTACGTGATTCGTCTAAAGTATGCTCTAGACTTTCAATTGCCTTGAGTTTACTCTCCACATCTCGCCGAAGCGAAAGAATTTCTGACACCAAAGAGGCATGCAGCGTTGGGGTGAACCGCCGCGGGTCCAGGGGTGAAAGGTTGTCTTCCTCCAGGATATCATCATCGTCGCTGAGACCCGGGGGCGAGAAGCTGTGAATTGGCAGTGAACTAAATGAGGAGAGGTCGCTTGAGTCCACTTGTAATCGAATGGACGGGGCTCTTGGGGTTGTTGACGAAAGAGTTGGAAAGCCCTTTGCCACTGGAGAGCTGGTATATATGCTATTGGTGGCCATTGCGTTGGGATCAGAAGAGATAGCTTTGAAGCATCCCTTTGATGATGACGGATCAATCAGATCTTGCCGGAATGTGTCATGCAGCATCCATGTATAGCACTTATGCCGCGTCTCCTGAGTGGCGTAGAACAGCTCCGCTGACCCCTTGATGACGAAAAAGTAGTTGGCCAACCAGCAGCTGTAGCACTCGATCAAGGAGACTTTCCGACTTCTAGACAAAAGATAGCATCCATCACAATCAGTCAGTCTTCTGTGCATGAAAAGGATTGAAAGGCCGGAAACATGGTTGGAGATAGTAAAATGGCATACATTAAGCCGGCTCTCGACGCTTGCGCGTCCTCTGGCCTTCGTGAGCAATTGGCGCAGAGATAACAGGCAGATCCGGGCGTGAGGATACTCAAAAGATAATAATGGTATAGAAAGCTGCTCGTCACTTAGTGAGAGGAAGGGAGGGTGTTTGAAGTACGATGAGCGACGCGGAGGGAGTCGAATAGGAAGTATGGAGGAACAGATGCGAAGTATTGAGTCTGGTAGCAGCGCAACTGCGGTGTCGCGGACCCGGAAACACGAATAATATTTTCTTTTCTGCTTGCCTTGCCTTTATTTTCTCTTAAAACGAAAAAAAAAAACACAGAAAAACAAAACAAAAAATAAATGATGTACTGTACAGAACACCCCAGTAGGTCCGAGATTCTAGCCAGACTGGCCGTCTGAAGGGAAGGGAAAGATTATCAGCGAAGGCGTCCGTTTGATCACACCCGATCAAGCACTAAATTGGACTTGCGCCTGCACAGAAACCTTGTCCGAGCTTCGGATAGAGAGTAGGCCGGTTATGATCATTGATTGGATCAGGACGAGATAGACAACGTTACAAAAGGACGAACAACCAGTCCAACGGGGCTAGCTCCTCCCAGGGGTGTTCGCTGGATTAGGGGGATGTGGATATGGGATCATTTGGTGGGGAAGGGAAAGCAAATGGGATGGATGAATTATCATCGAAGGCAATCTCCACGTACCTACCAATTATTTATTAGTGAGGAGCAGTCACCGCACGACTCCACCAGAGCTTGCCACTGCTGCTTTAGAGAGCGATCCCGATCCAATCGATAGATAGAGATGACATTTTAGAACGACGAAGTCGGCTGAGGACGCAGGGGTACATGGATCGGGAGCAAGAAGAAAGAATATACGGAGTAATCAGTATGAGTACTCTATGTAGGCTCTGAAACGCCGTGACAACCTATTTTGGTTATGCTAGTTAGTTAATCGGCTCCGTTCGTTCAGGCAGTGGAGAATAATAAAAGGAGGCGGCGGGGGAAGCAGAAGAAGAAAAAGAGGAGAGAGAACGACGGCGCGCGCGGGGGGAGGGGGGAAGAGAGGGGAAAAGGAGGTTATCTTGCCTGTCCATTTAGGTGGAAGATCGTCCGTGTATGTGTCTTCCCTAATCCAAAAGAGAAGGACGAAAACTACCTAGTTTCATATATCATGGAAAATGGATTAACAGAATGGAGTCCACGAACAAAGAAAATCAACCGTGATTATCCACGAGCCTTTCAGTTACTAATGCAGGCAGGTGCTGTAATTAGTCTACTAGTCTACTAGTTAGTGAGAGAGACTCGAAGTCAGAGTGCTAAGCAGCGGCTGTGACGGGGGTTCGTGTCAAGAGCTAGGCAGTCAGTTAGTCATGGAGCTAGATACAACTACTCCGTAGTCCGTACTATAGTTACCTTAGTTAAGTTAGGTAGTCCGGGACCCGCTGGTTTGAGACAATTGGACCACCGGTACTCGACGTACTCGACTATGAGTGTGTATCCTTCCGAGCATCATAAGTTTATGATGATTGTATTCCAGCTTTTCTTCGTTGTCGGACAGGCTGGGCAAACATTTATCATCTTAACTCAGTCACAGTAAGTAAACGACGGTAATCCGTTTGAAGGCTTACCAGATCTCAACGTGCAAGACAGCAAGCAGCGCTGTCGTTCGCCTCTCAATAGTCTCTACGGTAGTTCCTTAGCATGCCATCATCGGAACCGCTCTCAATATTTCGTCTATCATCGAGTTTGTGATCGAAAATCCGTGGCCCGTGTCGTAGACACCATCATCAATTTGGTTAAGTCTGGTAGCCCTCTGGACTAGCCCTATGAGTTGACATGAGGGTGCCCAGCCTACATATAGACTCACGCAGTATTCAAAAGGTGGATAGATCAAAGAACGCTGCTAGGCCCGGCTGAATGCAACTCAATGAGCATTATGCTGGTGCAGTGTGCTTCGTGCTCCCCAATTGAAGTCGAAGTTGAAAGTATCCTGGAGTATCGAGCAAGCTCAGAGAAAAAGCAACGAAACCAGCCGGGAAGGATCCTTGGATGTTGGGTCGGCCCAGCTCGAGCTCCCCACCCCTTTTTCCCGCCGTTTTCTGGTTCAGGATTAGACACCAGAGGCGACGGACGGGCCGGCGCTCAAATTTTGGGAAGTGACCCCATTCCGGAAATTAGAGGCGGAGCAGCGACAAGCCCTTGCGTAGCCTTTGGTGGTCGAATCGCCAGTGTCGCTCTTTCTTTGACTGTTCGTATGCGCATGAAAATTGGCTGGTTTTTTCGAGTCTGTCAGGCAGCGCAAATCTCGGACCCGCGGGTCGATATTAATATCATAGGGAATTATGACCTTAGCGGGCGATTGGCGGCCGATTCGTACGGGGACGGGGGTTTTCGCTGGGCCTTTCAAGGTGGAAATTTCCCGTTAAGCAATGCGTCCGTTCGCATCCGATCGTCACCGAAGGACTATGATGATGTGCACTAGATAGGTTGTGGAAGTAGAGAACTTGCTTATAGCATAACTTATCGGCCGTCAGCCAGCCTGGTGCTTGAAATAGATGAACGTGGAGAATAAGTAGTGTACAGTACGTACCATGAATCATCCAGACTGGCTTTATCCTTGGCGACCCACGCGGCAAAACGACTAGCTTTTGCGCCTGCCGGACGCCGGCTCAGGGGCAAGAGCGCGCGACTTGGGAATGACAGGTCAACCGTGCACGGAAAGAAGTGTCTCAGATGCTGAGGGCTTTTGTCAAAGGAAACAAAGGGCAAGTTAATTAACTCACTGGCAGTACTAACCACCTAGCACCTAGTACCTGGTACCTAGCATTTCGAATTCTTCTCTCTGGAAATATCAATCGGTAAGGATAATGCAGAAAGAATGAAAGAAGAGACAGACGCCAAGAAACACATTACCTACCTAGTACCATGTACATTTGATTGGAAACCCCAGCGGAACGTCTGGATCGAACAAGGACCTGGGATTGCGCCGTTGAACGCACTAATCACTGGGCTGCAGCTGCAGCTGTAGCTGTCACAATCACCAAACAGCAGATGACGAAGGCAATGCAGTGACTGAGCCTGCCTCCTTCCTCCTCCCCTCTCTTTCTTCATATAATCATGCAGTAACAACTCAATCAAAGCTTGAAAAGCCCTTCCGACCTTCGGCCTGAATACAGTAGGTCTTAGCGCGCTGATGGTGAGATGTGAACGCTTTTCAAATGATTATCATCCTAGCCCATCAAATGAGACTGAAGACTGATATTATTGCCCCCTTGGTAAGATTCCTGTTTGACTCGATGTTCATATGGAGTACGGAGTACGGAGTACTAATCAACTCGGTGCAGGTCATTTGTCATTACTCATTACCTAAGTTAGGTTAGCTATGGACTCTAACCAACTTACCCCGCCACGCCTTATCCTCGGCTCGACAACCACGATCTGGAACGTCGATATATCGCGGTATCAAGCCCCTTCTCATCAATTTTATGCGGAGTGAGTTGCTTGAGATAACATTAGAACGAGCACGGAAAGCGAGGCGAGAAACACCAAAATTTCAAAGCCCGTCACTACGGGAATTCACTTACTCTCTGATGGCAAACACATCACTTCTCAAAGGGCTGTTCTTCGATGTCTTTGGGACGGTTGTAGAATGGCGCAACTGTGTGGCCAGCTCTCTGAGGGAAGCTGCCGAGCGGGCATTGCGAGACCCTAAGAAAACACTTTCGTTGGCTCTGCGTGCCCGCGCGACGGCCATGTCCTCTAACGACTGGCAGGAGTTGGTGGAAGAATGGAGGGCGTCCTACGGCCAGTTCACAAGAAAATTTGACCCATCCCAAACTTTTATCTCTATTGATGAACATCATTTCGACTCCATCCAGAAGCTACTCCACCAGTATGACTTGAAAGGACTGTTCACCGAGGATGAACAATGGGAGCTTGTTTTCAGCTGGCACCGACTCGAGCCGTGGCCGGATTCAGTCAAGGGCCTTGAATTGCTCAACCGCCGTTTCCGGACTTGCACTTTGTCCAATGGCAATATCTCTCTCTTGAGAGACCTCCAACGCCATGGATCTCTTCCCTTCACGGATATTGTTAGTGCGCAACACTTTGAGGCATACAAGCCGTCGCCGCAGGTGTACACTGGCGCAGCAAAGCGCTTTGGACTGGATCCCTGCAATTGTGCAATGGTGGCTGCACACCTTTATGATCTGAAAGCCGCCAAGGCCCTAGGATTTGCGACCATTTATGTGGAACGCAATGATGAGAATCTCACTCCTCAAGAGATTGCTCAAGCCAAAGAACAGTATGTGGACGAGTGGGTCGACGGTGCCACGGATGGGTTGATCGAGGTCGCCCGGCGACTAGGCATTCAAGAGGAACCTGACCTAGCCAGTACATGTCAGTAGGCATGTAGGTGGGCTTTTCTTGGTCTTTGTGCTTCGGAGTTGTAGAAAGAAGGGTTATATACAATACGGCCCCACAGGCTCAGTCGGCTCAGACCTGGACTCAGTGTAACATGACACCCCTGGCATCGCAGGCACTCAATGTATACGTATCTCGTCAATTAACCCACAAACGCAATATTATCGCTTCGCAGCTTTGACCGCATGCTGTACCATCGATTCTTGATCAGTAAGTAACTCTTGATCTGTCAGCGCGGGCCCAGTCATGTAATTCATGCGGGGTTGCATGAATGACAACATCGCGTCGATTTGTCAGCGGTCAGCACAGGTTCGTAACCAGCCATCCGGTCTTCGAGCAGCTAAACTATTCAACTTCAAGCTGACCGGACGGTCTTGATGCAGTGATCGTGATGGTCGATCGCAATCTTTGAAAATTCGGAGTCGTCACAATGTCCGCGCAGGTATGGAGGTTTGCATCGCCTGTTCTCGACGAGTGATCATTAATGACTTCTTAGAAATCTGACGTACACTCTCATGCCGATGCGGACGGCCACTTCAGGCGTAAATCAGCTGCTTTTCGCTCCTCTATCTCGCGCGATCCTAATGCAGAATTTCCGGCGCAGAAGGATCGTTATGTGTTGTACATCAACTTTGGGTGTCCCTGGGCACACCGGACTAATCTGGTGCGGTCACTCAAAGGTCTAGATGATATAATCCAGCTAGTTGTTCTCGATCCCGAGTTGGGACCGGACGGTTGGTTCTTCTCTGGTAGATATGGGTCTGCGCCGGCGGATCCTTTGTATGGCTTCTTGCGGTTGAGCCAGTTTTACTTCAAGGCAGATCCTAATTATGAAGGCCGATACACAGTCCCAATGCTTTGGGACAAGAAAAAAGAGACTATTGTCAACAATGAGAGTGGCGAGATTATCCGCATGTTTTACTCCGAATTCGAAGACTTCCTTCCCCATGAGCTGCGAGAGACCAACCGGCTTGGTGGAGGTTTCTACCCGCCACACTTGAGAGCTGAGATCGATGCGATGAACTCATGGGTTTACGATAAAATTAATAACGGAGTGTACAAAACTGGATTCGCCACGACGCAGGAGGCTTATCTAGACAACCTATACCCGCTTTTCGAAGCACTGGATCGGATTGAAGACCATCTGACCCAGCCAGGGCATCAACCATATCTTTTCGGAAAAGAGATCACGGAAGCAGACATCCGATTGTATCCGACTATTGCTCGATTCGATGTGGCTTACTATTTGATCTTTCGGTGCAATCTCAAGATGGTCAGGCATGACTACCCGTTGATTGACCGCTGGTATCGGCGGTTGTATTATGATGAGAGCTCACGTACCCGAGGCGGAGCATTTAAGAAAACTACTTTCTTCGAGATTGTGAGTCGGGCATCAATACATCAAGATATGACTATTACTAATGCCATCCGATAGTATAAGTTTGGGTACCTGAAGTCTTTAGGGAAGCGATTGGGCAGCCTGCAGACGATCATTCCGGCAGGCCCAGCTCCAGACATCCTGCCTGCGAGCTTATAATGGTTGAGGACCGTCATTCTTACTGTGGGGATGTATCAGTGGTAGATGGAGCAATTAGGTTATTTCCATGTGACAACCACACGCCTATCTTATGCATTTACTCTTATGAAAAAAGCGTTCTATCTCTAAGAGACCTCACTCGCGGTAATGCTTCGCAGCTATAGAGGCCCCGGCATGTTATCCTAAGCCGACACCATCAGACAGAGCAGTAATTCACCTTCGTATGATCTCGATGCAGGGACGATAGGTTACGTGGATTGTCATAACTCTTCTCTTGGTTGGGCCGGGCGATCTCCGGAGCTCGGGCTGCAATCAGGGTTCGCGCTGGCTGAAAGATCGGCTCAGGGCGAATACGTTAAGATACAGACAGAGTCAATCGGCAGCGTTCGAGCACCTTTGGCTAGTAGATCGCAGTGTGTTTCACCAATTCTAGAGGTAGAGTGTTCCAGCTCGATACTATACACTGAGGCGTAAATGCCCAGATACAGGACTACCGGGGACGTCCCAACCAAGCGAGAAACAAGTGTTCAAAGTCGTACCTAGTGGTTTCAGAACTGAACACTACTCGAACAGAAAACTCATTAGATTCTGTTTTCATTGGATGTCCAATTCGGATGGCGACCAGGCATCTGAAGAGCCATGGAACTTAACTGAACTTTGAAACGCTTATCGTTCACGTGAGCTCGATGCACTGGCTGGGTGCCTCGAGTGCATTGGGTGGCATCCAGGGGCTCAGTAGGTAACGAAGTAGTACCGTAGGTAGCGTAGCGTAGCGCAAGGCCAGTGGAACGGGAAAGATTCACGATCTTCTTTATACTCTACTCATACTTTCAAAGTCTACTCTCCTCTTTTTTTCCATCCAGCATCACCTCATCTCATTTTGCAAGCCAGTTTACGTATACGACTGGACAGCCAAGGATCAATTGACCTCGCTGTATTCATGAGAGACTCGGCATTTTAGGTGTCTTCCCCCCCTTCTCCCCTCCCTTGATACGATCATAGAAAATATCTGGTTCTAACTTCTGTGTTGCTTATCCACGTCATGTTCAATTTACTTTCGTTACTTTACGAGATCTGCTCTTACCATGCAGAGTGTAACGGAGTAATAACGACTGGTAACAACTGGTAACTAACCGTCAATGTGCACGGGGAATGGCCATGTGCTGAGTGGGCAGGGGTGGTTGCCGCAAGTCAGCGACCGTCCCGTGGCGGTGGGACGCCGGCCCCTGATCCCGTTCTCCGTATCCATGATGGTTTTTATCCACCCACCCTGCATATGAATACTAGGTAACTTCCTTAGCTGCATAATAGGACGGCAAGATGCAAACTATATCTACTGAACAGACTATGATCCATGTCTGGGTCCTGTAACGTATAACTACTAGGTAGGTACAGTATCGCAGGCCGGCCTATGTAGTCACCCAATGATTTCCTGCTCTGTTGATCAAGTGCTTGCTTTTTCCCGTTAATTCCGTTGATCCTAGACCCTCGACCCTACTCTAATGATGACATGATGGTTGATGAATGATGCAGCGTGATTTATCATGGCCTGTGATCATGGCTGACCGTGGTGTCTGCCTATTGGGAACTAGTGTTCTCAAGAGGGCCGAGTCAGTTTAACTGGAATAGGACACAGTGATTACGAACTACCCAGTAGCGCCGGTCTATAAAGGAAATCATGGTACAGTAGTAGGCGAGCCGCCGCTGCTATTTTCTTGTGTTGTTCAGCGTTTCGCATTTAGAATATTTAACAAAATTTTCGGCTCTTGCTGAGAAAATCTCTAGCAGCGGCGCGGTTGTTTACATACACATTTGAAATGTAAGCACCTTGCACATATGGGCTACGTGTCTAATTAACTTACCAAGTCAACGACCGTAAAGTGACTTAACTGATTCGGGATCACGGACCGCTGCGGTGCAGTCTCCGAGAGCTAGTAGCATTCCACGTGGGATGAAAGCTGGGGCTGGGAAATTAGATAGGCGGAAGAGCTGTGGTGAACCTCGCCAGGAAACGCCGCTGTTATGCTGGTTCATATTAAAATTAAATTGGACCGTTATTCTATTCTGGTTCACCTTTGGCAAGAGCCCAGGCTGAATGCTTGATAAGCATTGGGTGGAAGGAAGGAACTCTTCCTGTTCATCTTGTGTTTGGAACTCAACCAACGCTGCTTGTCGGCCCAGCCGCCGATCCATATGCTAGGCTCATCAGTCTCCCCTTTGATACATTCATCCTCCATTCCAGCACAGTTGTCAGACTGGATGGGTTACTGGAACTGGAACAAGAACCTCCCGTGCTCACACTATGGCTCGGCCCGACGACATCTATTCCTCTGTTCCGGCTGCGCCTTGAGTTATCACTGTTGCGTGGAATCCGTGTTAGGGGTCGGTTCACAGATAGTAGCAGTGTAATAAAAGCCTAGTGCCTTCCAGAAGCAATTCAATGATTTTTCTGGAAGCTCATCAGGTTGGAGTTTCTTCCGTGTTCCGAGTCCCGATGTGATAATAGGGGTTAACTGGGATCCACCGGGCTGCTTAGCTATCACGGATTAACTTATCCTTTTTCTCGGGAGGCCCAAACTAGACTGGGAGAGGGTTCGCCTAGACGTCATATACTTAGGAAAAGTGCTGCTGAGCTTCGGGCCTCCTCAGGACTCAGGACTCAGGAGATAGGCAAAGGAAAATGCGTAGATACATATGCATATGGTATGGCAGCAGCGGCAGGATAGGAAGTGGGATGATATCTTGTTATACTTTATCTGGATTCCTTTCTGATCCTCACCTGCCCAGCGTTTCATGTCGCTTTTGCTACCAGAGAAAATTCTGACATGGGTTGCGACGTTCTTTCTTGGAGGCGGGATTATCCTGGGACCGGGAAAGTTACGCTTTGGGAATCCCGATAATCAGGAAGATGGGTTTTAGTCTGCCTCATACGGGGCCGCGGAATATTCTACCCTTCTCCCCGTAGCACTTGTGTGGAACAATAATTTCTTAGGACTTCGCCAACAGTGAAAATCTCCCTGCTGCGCGGGACGGATGGGTCCTCGCCTGTTTTGCATCGGTTAATCCAGACGACAGACGAGAGCCCTTCATTGCTGTATACTTGAAGTCCTCCATCCAAACCTGACACACATTTCGAATCTTCTGCTTGCCACCAGGTCAATTAAACCTGTGCGATCTATAGTGTGTGACAAAACGTCCTGAAGCACGGGTGATACCACATCAGACTTGAGGCAAGACACATGAGTCTGGTATGCAAATCCTGACCGACCGGGTGTAGGTTGATGCCACCGATACCACGTCTTTTCTCTGTGTGTGGGGAGCAGCCATGAAGTGACTAGTGTCGTCGAGCACCCACTTCGTGTCTACCCGAAACCTCCTGAAGAATACTTACTGACTACATGGCTCATACATTCATGCATACTGGGTACTGAGAAGGCTTGCAATGCGCTCAAGATACAAAGGAAGCGCGGTGGGGGTAGGGGTTAACACATGGAAACGATGTACAGATCATTGGAGCAGGCACCGATGGGAGTATCATTCGGGTCAAAGCAATGAT